GGACATAGTTTCCGCTACTTGTGGAATAGATGTTTCAACAGACCAATATTGTCTTATAGAAGGCATCTTAACTAAGCTACTATATAAATGTATCCCAATAAATCTTTCAATTTCATCGCTATCTGTATTTATAGATTTACCACAACATTGGAATGAATAAATATTTGTTTCCGATACGAAATTACTAATTATCTGGTGGTCCAAAAATTTACGAAAATATGTTAGAGGAGTTGAATCATGTTCAGGAATTTCCAAAATAGGGATAAATTCTGTATTAATTTGTCCGATGTCTTTCTTAGACCAAAGCGTATCTTTTATTTTAGTTATAGTTGTATCTTATACTATATCCTCCAATTGAAGACCTAATTCATTCGTAATAGAAGATGATGTCGGCAAATCATCTCCCAGCAAAGGATAATAATTATCTTCTTCGTCTGAGCTCTCTATATCAGCCTCAGATATATCACCCTCGGGGATAAGTGTAGTCATATCTAAAGGCATATTGATATAACATCTCATAATACATGTTATTTATAAAAAAATATTTATTGGAACCTCTTTATATCCAAGAAAACCCATTTATAGATATTAGATAATTAATACAGGTAATAATTACGAAAATTTAATCCCCCCATCCAGTTTTCATAACCCTAAAACTAAATATCCTAAATAATTTGCCTAAAATTTCCATTTATTGATAAATTAATATTTTGTTGCATAAGAAATGACCATTGATGCCAAATGGCATTTTATGCTCAATTTCCAGCACCTAAAATGATTAAAAAGATGATAATTTTTAAATAAAAATATTAATATACATATATATATTAATAATAAAATTATTACTTATATTTTTAGCAAGATTTGATAACCAGAAATATGAGTTAAAATTTTGGCGCGAAAATGATACGAAAAAATTGATTTTTTATAACTATAATATGATATAATAACATATGATACAAAGCGAGTTAGTGATAAAATACGAAACAGCAAATATTAAAAATTAAAAATATGATTACAAAAGTTATCAGTGGCCATTTTTAATGCAAAAAATATTATTGAAAATTTATGATTCCAAATGTTATCCATGGGCGCGAAAGGGTTAAGAATAAAATAAAATATTAAGAGAAAAAATGGTGTTTTTAATGTTTCTCATTTTGTTTTTATTTAATTTTTGATGTCATATTTGTGCTGATATGTTATATACACATATGTAGAAATGTCCATTTATTTGTGTAGTTATGATTTTTTATAAAAATTAATAAATTAAATAAATTATGGTAAAATATAAATTATAAATTTTTGTTAATTTTATATACACATATGGAGAAGTGTCGACCATTTATTTATGTAGTTTTTGTTTATGTAAAAAAATTAATGAATTAAAATCATAAATTTAGATAAAATATTTAAAAAAAAATTTTTTTTTTTAAATTATGTACAGCGATGATCTGCCCTTATTGAACTGTGGGCATTTTTATTTGCTAATAAATATTATTCCAAAGAAACCTAAGTGATTTAGAAACATTTTGGGAATAAAAAAAAATTAATAATATATGATAAAATAGTCGAAAAATTGCAACAAACACATCGGTCAAATCCCGACAATGCTTTGGCTGTCAATCTTTTAACCATTTAATGGGCAATTGCGATGTACCAGCGTATGCCTTGAATCTTCCTCAACCTTCAATATGCAACCAACGGAAGGAAGATATGCCCAATGGATCAAGAAGCCCTACTGTTGAGCCACCAATTTCCAAGGAGTCTAAAAATAATTATATAAGAATGTATGGCATATGGCCACCAAATATTATCAAGGAACAGAGTTAAAAGAGACGAATGGAACAACAAGTTATCTGGGATATGGAAATCATTTGATGTTACAGATTGACAAGGATATGGAAGAAGCCATGCTACAATAGAATACAAAAACAGTAGTGCTTAGGTTCATTAGGAACAAGATTATTTTTAAGTTTATGACATATTTATATATATATTAATTAAAGCATATATTTCGTCGGCACATGCCCTTGGCCTGTTAGGGGTGGATATCTTGTAATTATCAGAATAAATAATAATGCTGAACAAAAAATAATTGCGGAAAGCATCCGAAATAAGATTCGTGAAATCGAAATAACAGATTTAGTAAGAGAGGAAATGAATCCCCTCATTAATTCTGGTATTTTGGGAATTTCCGATGAATTAATTGTTGAATCGGATAGTTCTAAAAATAACATTGAAATTAATGAAAATCAAATTGTTGATTTTGAATACGATAAATTAAATAAAGAATGTGAAACTATTATTGTAACATAAATGATCATTGTAGAATATTTTTTAACTTAAATGATAGATGTGAAAAATTTCGTAATTATTATAAATAATCAATAAGGAACACTGATAATAATGAATACTAAATTAGTGAAGAAACATTTCCTAATGATCATAATTGTTAAAACAAATGTGTTATGGTTAATTTCTTAATGTGATATCAGTGAACATCATTTAATATAATCATTGTAAAAATGTGTTTTTCGTGTTTGTTAAATATTGTAATATTTTTAAAAAATAGTCAAAATTAATATTTTGTTTATAATCTAAAAATTAAAAAGTGAAAAAAAATCCAATCATATCTAAAACATAATTTTATAAACAAACATATATATGATTGACATATTATTAAGAGAAAAAAATATTTATTCTTATAATTACAACAGTCCACCACTAATAGGCCAATGATATGTGCTGACATAATATATACTTTAATTAATATACCTAAAGATGTCATAAACTTAAAAATAATTTTGTTCTCAATGAACCTTAGTACTGTTTTTATATTCTATTGGAGCATGGCTTCTTCCATCTCCTAGATATCTTGATGCTTCATTCGTCTCTTTTAACTGTTCCTTGATAATTTTTTGGCGGCCATAGCTTGTTGCCATACATTCTTATATTATTATTTTTCACTCCTCAGAAGTTGGTGGATCAACGGTATAGTTTCTTGATCCACTGGGCATATCTTCCTTCCGTTGGTTATATATTGAAGGTTGAGGATTCAAGGCATAAGCTGGTACATCGCAATTGCCCATTAAATGGTTAAAAGATTGACATCTAAAGCATTGTCTGAATTTGGTCGATGTGTTTGTGGCAATTTTTCGACTATTTTATCATTTATTATTATATTTTCCTTATTCCCAAAATGTCTGTAAATCTCTTAGGTTTCTTTGGAATAATATTTATTTGCAAATAAAATTGCCCAGTCCAATAAGGGCAGATAAAAAATTGTGATATGATGATTGGATTTTTTTTGACTTATTAATTTTTGGATTTTAAACAAGAATAAAATTAATTTTAACGTTTTTATTTTTAAGTTCTGAATAAATTGATTAAAATTATTCAAATGATTTATAAGTGATAAATTTTGATAATTATTAGTTTTAATTGAAATTAAAAAAACTTTTAAAAAAAATACTGATTTAATTTCCGATTTACATTAAATCGATTTTTATTTCTACACCTTGATTAAAACTAAAAAAACATTAAGAATAAACTAAACAAATGTATTTTACAAGGTTTATTTTCCTCTATATATAATTTGAATTTCCAAAATGATTTTAAATTAAAATACATTTATTAGAATCCGCTATCAAAATTATGAATACTGAATATTAGTCATTTAACTCATATTTTTTTTTAAAATTTCTCCCTCCCCCCAACTCTCGAAGAATCTTAGATATGCTACTGAATATCAATATAATATTGGTTTACAATACCAATATAAAATCAATTATTGGTATTGGTTTTAAAACACTACCAATTAGCTGAATATATTTTCCCATTCAAATTAATAGGAATTATATATTGTTTTAATACCAGTTAATATTAGTCAAAAAATAGTTAAATATTTTATGAATTATTTTGAGATGATATTTAGAGTTTGGGTCGGTTTTATACTAAACAACAACTAAATTTTTAAACCCATTTTTTAAGGGTCCCACCGTATTATACCGTATTTGCTATATACTAACTCCGAAGGATAGAAATACTTAGCTTGAATTGGTGGAATCACCGGAAATGGACCCCGCCGCGAATCGAACTACCTCTCGCTTAACTTGATAGTTCTCAACCCATTCACCCACCATTTGTCATTCAGCAATATATATTTTATAATTTACTAAAAGATAAATAATTTTCATTATTAAAATGGGCTTTTCTTTTGGTTCCAAACTTTTCATAACAATAAATTTTTTCACTAATCTAGATAACACAAGAAATATATTGAATTTTCGGTCTACACTTATTATATATTGGTGCAATAAATTATTAAAGGATTATTTTAGCTCAATATTTATATTACTAGAAGATTATTCTTATTTCAATATTACTAGAATATTTACTATATTTTAGTGCAATAACTAATCTACATATTATTTATTAAGTTTATCTGCGAATCTTTATACTTTATATGCTCATTTATTAATATGCACTTTAGAAGCCCTGCAAAAATTTCAAAAAAAATTAGAAAATTAATTCAACCGATTTTTTTAAAAAATATAAATTTTGTTAATTTAATGAACCTATTTGATAAATTTCAGAAAATTTAAACTTAAAAATTCTCCATTACCTTTTCTGAAAATAAGAAAACACTAGATATTTAAAAAAATTCAAATAAGGACTTTAGGAGCTATTTAATGATATCAAATATAGTCTCTACCATTTAAAAATTTATGAAATAAGGTAAATACTTATCTTTCCCCAATCATAAAATCATTTACATGTTCGTATAAAAACAAATAGTTTAAAAGATCTTCCAACAATTACTATCGGTCACACTACTATAAATAACAGACGGAAAAATACATATACCTGAATAATGATAAATTTTATAAAAATTCTATTTCCCCTTAAATATCCTTACTTTTGTTTAATCGGCTTTATTTTTAAATTTCATCTTATCGTCGATGAAATTTTTTTATGTTTTATATATTCATACCATACAGATTACAACGACCATCACAATCACCCAGTGGCCCCTATTAATAATTATTCTAATATGGGTTGTGAAGATGTACATAATTGTCTATTCGATTTTCCTGTAAATGATAACTGCCCTGCTGAAATAATGGTCACATTTCAGGTGTCAATCAATCCTCTAAGCGTGAGACAATTGTTCAACATCATACCGGGCCTCCAGTCTTGTATGCCTCAAATGGAATCCAATAACAGTTAGTTATTTTTTAAATATTTTAATTTATGAGAATTAATTTATAAATAAGAAATAAAACCTAAAGCTGCGTTCTACCCCTTTTAATTTTCTTCCTTAACCTTAAATAGTGCATTCTATTTTAGAAAGTTGGTTATATACAGATTTTGACATAAGTTGACGTTTTTGAAAATACGTACCCATATGTTAGAGAATACACTATATATGAATATAAATGTTCAGATTATATATGATTAAAATTGACATAAATCGCCATTTTTGATTTAATTGTTTTTTTTTTATTTCTAACAAAATACCGGTTTTTTTATATTTTATTTAAAGAATAGGAAAATATAAAGGAACTAGGACACAATCTAATGATTTTTTTAAGAAGTGAGTTCTAAGGAATAAAACTGTGGGGAAAAATCTGTACTATTAAAAAGAGATAATTGTAATAAAAAATAATAAAAGGATGGGAACATTTTTAAGGTGACTATTTATAATATTATTTATCTGATAAGATAGATAACTGTCATTCATGGGCCTGGGTTTTTTAATCAGGCCTCGTCCAGGCCCGCAGTCAAAAATTAGGACTCTCCCATCCCATATCAATTTGGCTCAAACTCATATCCAATTTAATTTATTGTATTCAGCGAAAATAAACAATATTTTAGTGTATAAAAGCAATCATTTTGTTTGCAATATTGAAATTTATTAGAAGAAAAAAATTGCAATATTTTCCGACCTATGGGCCGCAGGGTTACCTGGCTTATTAAGTCTTTTATAACTTTTAAAAAATAATTTGACATGAAAAAATTTGTAAAAATTGTTTCTTCTATTTTATTATATATTAACCCTTTAAATATCGACTTTTTAAAATAAAACTAAAAAATTTTTTTATAAAAAATCTTCATTTATATATACCAAGGATATAAAATTTTTATTTCGACTTTTATTTCATAGTATACAGGTAAAAAAAAATCATGATACAATTTGGCATCATTGAGCGAAATGCATGTATATAAAAAATTATTTATTTATTTATTATGAAAAATTTTTAAAAATTTATTTCCTAGTTATAGCATAAATTTTCACACATATTCCTTGGATATGCGATAACACATTTTTACTAGTCTTAGAAGCTTCTGGCCAATGCTCTAAATTATCATATCTAACGTCAGTTATTATCTGAAATAACTTAGATCCTTTTTGTATTTTAGGATTTTCATTTGATGGTCTCCCTATTTTTCTTTTACAAATTTTACCTGCCATTAACAAGGCAGGAACTATTTGAGATTTAAATGTTATAGGTTTTATAAAAGATTTTCCATTTTTTTAGTAATGTCTTCGATACAATAACCACGCATCCACAATGCAGGTATCTATCAATTGAAATATTATTCGAAGTGATATGGTGTTGGAATATTATTTGGGGGATTAGAAATTTTTTTAGAAAATGTTGTATCAAATGATTCAATATTTTTTAATACCCAATTACTACTGAGATTAGGAAAACTAGGACCTTCATGAACATTATCAAGTTCTATGTGGAGTGCATTTATGGGCGAATCTATATTGTGAATAGGATGATTAAAATTATTCTCACTATTATCAATATCTGTTTCCGAAATATCACCTTCAATTAATTTTATTTGACATCATCTATAAAAAATAAAATTTATTTAACGTTAATAAAATAACTTATTAAATTCCCAATGAGTTAATTTGGCATCATAATTTAAAAATTATATTTACAAAAATTATTAAAATTCTAAAAAAATATAAATTCATGATGACATATTTGAATATTTTGTCTTCTTTATAAAATAAACAGTTTTCAGAATTTTTCAATTAAAATATATATAAATAATATGTAAAATCAAGTAATTTAAGAAAAATTGAAACGGAAATATAGTCAAAATTTACATGATAATAAAATAAAAACGAAAGCATATTTTTTTTTATTATTGATAAAATACGATTGAATACATTTGTAATATTGAAAAATGTTAAATTAAAACATTGAGTGGTTTTAAATATTAAAAAATAACATTCAATATGATGATGTCAAATTAGCTCACAGGACTTTAAAGGGTTAATTCAAAATTTTCTTTTAGAGATTTAACTTAATAATTAATTTTTTTTAAATTTTCAGATTCATACAAAATCTGAACTAAAATCAAAAACTCCGAACTCACTTTTCCCAATTTTTGTATTAAAAAAATACAAAATATTAGAAAATGATACATAGATCAGCCTGCAAGTATGACACTCCCCATCACCGCAGACTGATCTCTGATAAATTGGAAATTTTGGTATTTCTAAAAAGAAATCTTCGATATATTAATTTAAATATCTATTTCGAATTTCATAATATATTTGTTTATTACTAATTATATAAATAGAAAAATGTTATTACTTATTATATAAATAAGTGATTTATCAATAAAAATATTTTATTACTTTTAGAATTGCAATTGAATTGAATATAAACTATAACTGATCATTATAATATATTTAAATGACATATGTTATGGTATAGTTAAATTATAGATGTTATACTAATAAAAAGTATATTAAAAATTAAAACCATTGGTATCTTTACAGAATACAAAATTAGATATGATTTCGGATCGGTAATCGGCCGATATCAATTTAATATCTGGAATATCGGATCGAATCAGCCTCCAAAAAGTGGTATCGGTACACCCCTAAAAAAATTATTTTAAATTATGGAAAAAATCTTAATTTAATAAAAAAAATTACTATCAGATTAGAACTTCGATAGAGACTTGTAGAAGATATTTTAATATTTATTTTTTATTATAATTAATTAATGATGAAAATTTTTTCTAATCCAGACCCTATTTATTAAAGTTGAAGAAATTTTTTGCGCCCCCCCCTTTCAAATTTTGCGTTTTGGTATGAATCAATTATTACATCGAAGCAATAGTATAGATTTCTATTTTTCCCATTAATTTAGCAATTATTATTAATAATAATAATATATATCCATTAATTGACATATCAATTTATATAAATGTTAAGATAATTATTAAAAAAAGTAAAATAGTGAAATACAAATTTACCCATTTATTATTAAAATTAAAATTTATTTTTAGGAATGTTCTGGACCGTTCCAGGAAGGTTCCGTTCTCATTCCATGTTACTCAAAGTTCTGTGAGCATTCCGTTCCAGAACGATAGGGGGACTTTCTTTCCTGGATTTCTTTACATCTATTTTATCAGATATCATTTACATTTATTAAAAAAAACTTAAAGGTGTTTTTCATATATTAAAATATAGTATTTTTTGTTGCAATTATTTCTTTTTAATTATTCATTTTTCTTTTCTACAGTTTTTTTATTTTGAAATTTTTTCTTAAGACAGTTTTTTTAGGGATCCAAACCGAACTTTTAAATAGGTAATTTTCATCGAACCTGAAATGTTAAATTATTTTTTATCCGAATCAGAACCAAACCGCGAAAATGTTTGTGAACCAGTTCGAGCCTCATGATTTTGAGCTTATAAAAGAATGTAGAGTTATTACTAGTATATTGCTAAAATTATAATCTATATCTGAATTGTTGTAAAGATTATTATCAATCAATTTGATTGATGTCAGTACAAATTTTATTATCATTTTACAACATTATTTAGCTTATATTGCCTAGAGATAAATTGAATCCAATAAATAAAATATTTAATTATAGTGTTATTAATGATAAACCAATATGTAAAATTTTTATATACAAAAGTTTTTAGAGGTTCGAACCGAACCGATTTTTTTATTTTTTAGGAACCTGAACTTGAACCGTTATTTTTATTTGAACCTAAACTGATGTTCGGATCCCTGGTTTTTTTTTTTATATATTTTCTCGCAGTTTTTCCCCAAGGTTTTTTTCCCAGTTTTTCGGTCGAGTTTTTTTCCGCGAACTTTTTTTTTATCCCATACCAACATTACACATATTTTATGTGTAAACATCATTAAATATTTATATTTTCTACCATCCCTCTCATAAATTATTAGCCGTTTTCAATATTATGTACAACTCACAAATTGCTGCCACTTACGCTTTGGAAAAATTGCAAAATTTTGAATACCCCCCTTCTATGCCCATTTTTATTGCGTGTGACCCTTTCAATGCGACCATGAACACGAATATTATGTTAAATGTTTTTTATTGAACTTTACATTTTATCAAAAATTTTGTAATGTTACAAGCAGTAATTTTTATAATTTTATTATAAATGCTAATGTATGAATGCATAATTAACCACACAAAATTTTGAATGAGTGCTTTGTAAATAAGTTTCTTTAATTTGCTATATGCTGCCGTCTAAATTATATATCAAAATCAATTTTAAAATAATCTATATTGGTAACAGGTCTAATATGATGAATTGTATGAATATGATGATGGGTATGGGCGGCAAATTTAACGGTAAATTATTTGTCCTATTATATATTTTTGAATTTGATAAATTCAAGATTTAAATCACTTCAAAATCTTTAATAGATTTCTAATTAGCATTTGATAAAATTTTCTATGCAATATGATTATTATTATAATTTATCCTTTAATAAAATATAACCATGATTTATCTTAAAGAAACATAATTTTATCTTCCTAACACTAATAATATAATATGTAGTTTTTTTTCCTTGAGATAAGGTATTTTTTTATAATGTTAAATTATATAACCAAATCAAATATCAAGACTCAGCACAATCGTTTTCCAATAACATCCTAGCAAGTACTTCTGGTCCACCCTATTCATCTTTTCATACATTGAACAAGACTAATGATATATCAAACAATCAATATTCCTCCTATTGTAACGTTAAATTGCCGGCACCCGAACCTATGGCAGACAAGTCCGCGCAAACTGTGGAAAGACTTTGGGTCATGGGATATCCAAAAATACCACCTATACCCGCCCTCTTAGACACTTTTGGGTTTGCTTTTAATAAATATTAACGGATAAGTAAATTTTTTTGATCATTTTTACTTGTCTAACTACTTATTGAGACTTGTTGCTGGGGTTTTATATACAACATTATTTTAATGATCCTCCAAAAAATACATTTTTGAACACTGATTTTCAAAATATATGAAACTTTTTATGATGTATATAAAAATTATTTTCAGTCATGGAAAAAACTATTCGGATCCTTATTTTTTTGGTCAAAAATTTCTAACATATTTTTTAGCAAGAGCATCTCTCTTATACTCAGCCCAATTAAAAAATTTCAAATGAAGATTAATATTATTTTTGAAAACTAATATAAGCCAAAAAATCAAGGGTGGTCGCATATCAATGAGGTGGGTAATAATTAAAAAATCATAAAATTACCTAAAACTATCAGATCGGATCCATTTTTTATAAATATCGGTCAATGAGAATTATAATTAAAAAAAGAGCATCCTCCATCCATTTATTTTTGTTAAAAATATTTTTTTTAAACTTAAATATTAAAATATAAACAATCGGGCCAAAAAATTAACGGGTCATGTTGGGCGTGCAAAAATTAAAGATGCCCGGTCCACTTAATATATAGTAGAAAAAATATTATTCTAAAGCCGAATAATATTAAAATTATATATTTTATTTTGCTTATAATTTTAATGATTAAATGACCTGCTACTATGATCATTATTTTATAAATTCGATGTTATTTTTTCCATAGGATATATTTCTGGATTTTAAAAAACGGGCTGGGCTGGGCAACCTTAGTATGAAATTGGAACCGGCCCAGGCAAAAACTAAAATCCTACTCGGCCGGGTTTGAAATTTTTGCCGACCTCTACTAAAAATATTTTAAATAAATATAAAGCACCGAGGTTTTTGAACCCAGAGGACATCTAAAGAAAACTAATTCAAAATAGCAAAGAATTCTATGAACGATAGTTTTTAAAATCGGCATCCCTCTTAATCTTAAATATGAATTTGATGGAATTTCTGTAGAGACAAGTTTCTATATATCTCTCTCCGAAGATTACATTCTATAAGATATTCTATCAAAAAATTTATTTTAAATTTTGTTTACATCATGCTATATCATATAGCCTATGAAAAACCATTTTTAACAACATTACAAAAGAAGAAAAGGCTAAATTGTACAATATGTAACTTTAACTGAGCGCAATGGGGACAATCAGCAATAAATCAAAATTTTTGGGATAGTAAAAATATGGCTATAAGAACTTAAGCAGAAACCTTCCATCTTTAGAGCTTATAAAAAACCGGCATCCATTTAGTGTAATGGCAAATGGTTGTATGCTCAAAATACCTAGGATGTGATCTATTTATAAATAATATAATAATTACTATTAAATATCAAGATATCATCAGTTAAGTAATAACATTAATTTATTTATCAGTAAATCACACCTTTTAGAAAGACGGATTTACTTATCATCGTTAAATCTGCAAAGATGAAAGAATTACCATATCAATAATTTACCACGCAGCAGATTTCAAGTATTTTTTGGAGAATAAATTAGTTATGTGGAAATCGATACCTCAGAGTTTGTGCCAAATCATATTTATTCATTACAAAAGAATATTCAGTTATAAAGGCAAAAATAGATTTAGCACAATTTTAATATTACTTGGTGAGAATAATATTTAACATAATTTGGGGGCATAATTTTAAGTGGTCACTTATTTTAAATCAAATACATTTTAATATAATTTAATTTTGCTTATTATATTTTGGTATTTTATACTGTAAAGTAGCGTAGTTACTAACAGAGTCACTTTTTGAGAAAAAGGAACGACATTTGTTACATATTTCCAATGATAACATTAACGAGTAACGCGTTTCTTTTTTGAGTAGCAGTATTGCAAAACGCTACTTTAATTTTTTCTTAAAAAATATTGAAAAAATTTTTTATTAATTTTTTATTTAAATTTTATAAACAATCAAAACCGAGTTTCTTATTTAGATTAACCGCCAATATTTTTATTTTATTTATTACATTTTTGTTGTTGAATTTTATTAGTCAGGATTGTTGATCTAATTAATAAATCAATCGAGGTATGTTAATTTTTATTTATGAAACATTTTTGTAATTGTAGATTGAAGTTGGGTCCACTCTATCGACTATTAAAAAATGTTAAAGAGGCAAATAAGCTAAAATAGCGTCCAATATGGTCTCTAATAAGCTTGTAGCCAGAGAATTTGATATTAAATTAAAACAAGCTAAATATATGGGATTATTTATACTGACTTAACAATGAAGAGATTTAACTATAGGCTCATTCTATTACAAATCAACCAGTGTTTCGGACGACCATCTCAAAAATGAATGAAACTTGTCATGTTAGTTATTTATGTTGTAAATTTTAATAAAATAGCGCTCGCTCAACCAGATTCAAAGATATACGCTTTCAAAATCGAAATGCGCTATGCGTGATTTAATTAAATCTTGTTTTTTTTAAAAAAAAATACTTAAAATAGAGTTACAAATTATTTATCATTTTATAGCCGCTTGTTTTTATCGTATTCTATTAATGACTGTGTTACTAAAGACACTATTTATAGGTTTATTTGTAATATATAATATTTTGTTTTTTAATTAATGCGTTACTATTCATCAATAGCTAGTAACGCATACAATTTCACAAAATAACGGTAACGCGTTTCTTTTTTTCAAACGTAATGAGTTAGTTTAAATTAACGTCTAAACCACTGGTATTTTATAATCATAATAAAGTTTTTAATTTTTTCTGATCTTTCAAACCCCGGCCTTGCCTAAGTTTTTTTTAAAATAAAACCTTGGTCAGACTATATTTTAAAACCAGATATTTAAAATCGCTATTATTAGGTATAAATGTTAAATGATTAATTTTTAAAAATCCGGGTCGACCTGAAAAATATAAAACCCGGGCTGGGCAGAAAATTTTTTAAAAAAAAATCCGGACCCAGCCATGCAAATAGTACTTATGCACAGGGATGGAACCCTTGGACAAAAAAAGGGTAAGGGTACAGGAAAAAAATTTAAAAAGATCTGAGTTTGGGTCTGGGAGGGAACATAAAAATAATCAAAATAAGATTTTTTTTCATTCATTTATTATTATACTTCAATATATACACATTCATAATTTACAAATGAAATAATTTATATTTTAAATGTTTTATTCAATCGCACAATCATTCTAAAATATCATCCATGAGATTTCTACGTAAATTAGATAAGACAATATATATTTCAAAGATGAAAATCCACGTTCTACGCTTACCTTAAATAGATAGTTTTCTTTATAATACATAAATTATTGTACTTGTGTGGCCGGTACAGCCTTGACGACTAGATAAGATATATAATTCTGGATATATTGAAGAATTATCTTTCAAGAATTTAAAATATTTTTACCAATATTTATTCTCTTAACTTCTGAGAACTTTTCTATTAAAGATGCAATAGGCATTTTTTGATTCTCCTTTCTATCTGACGAAAATTTGATTTTTTTTCTCTATCTAAAGTAAAATTTCAAGATCATCAATGTTGCTGTCATTATTAATATCACTACAACTAGTAGATAGTAGCCTCCTATATATTGTAATTAATGGAGTTTTGCGTATGCCATAAATCCTTAAAGATGGTCTTTAGCCATTTGTTTTTGCTCAATACTCAATAAAACTTGATATCGAGGGTCTAAATTATAGAAGCGTATACAACACAATTTTGCAAATATTGTTTCTCTTGAATTTTCATGTTTTCTAATATTTCTTATAAAATGAACTAATTTTTTCTAAATCTATTCGGCATCTAGTCCATATGCCATAAAAATCAAATAAACTTAATTGTTCTGATTGTAATCTTAATAATGTTATTTTTAAAGGAACAAATACAATAGTAAGGTTCTTTATTTGGCACCAATCATCTTCCTACAAAATGACTTCACATGCTCCTATAATAAAATCATTACAGAAATCTTTCAAACTTAATCATTCTAGCATCATACAAATTGAGGACCAACGTGTTGTGCATTATTTAAATTAAAATATTATTACTTGCACTACAAAATAATAAATGTATTTCAACATAGCATATTAATAAATTTACATAATAAAATATTATTACCTACACTAGAAAATAATTTATGATATCAATCTCTAAATAAAATGAAAGTCCAGGAAGAAAATTGAAAGAAAAACTCGAAGATAAAAAAAAAGTTACTAAAATTTTTATTTATAAAATTTTTATGACACCTAGAACCCTTGGACTCCACTTTTAAAAAGGGTCCGGGTTCGGCCAAAATACGAGGGTTCGGGTTCACATCCCTTCTTATGCAGGTCTCTAATTAATATGTTATTTTTTAAAGCATGTCTAGAATACTTTATTTTCTAAGGCACTGTTTAGTATTATAGCACTTTCTGTAAACATGGCACTGGAGATTTTTTTTATTTTTTAAAAAGAATTAGAGTAATTTTTGAAATTTACCTGAATTAGATTATTTGACCGAAGTTTGAAATTTTAGGATATATAACCATCTCAGGTTTCATTAAATTTTTTATTAAATATAAAGACGTTTTGGTAATCTCATTACCGTTGTTCCCTCCAAAGATAGAAATTATTGTTATGTTCATTACGCAAATTCTAAATCCGCTTGGTTTGCCTTAAAAACTCTTGATAAAAGCACTATATGTCAAATGGAAATGAAAGTATCATATTTTTGTCTTCTACTTTTAATATTGAATGCATATTTTTATACTTTAAAGTTACATATTTTAGTTGTTACTTATAATAATAATTAAAAATAATAAAATAACTAATATTATTTCTATATATTATAGTAAAATGCGCTCAACTGGCATTTTGGATCTTGATTCAAAATTTATTAATTACACTACTTCTTTGAGTCTGACTTTATAATATTGTTTTAACATTGGTTCCACATATCCATTGTTAACCCTTTCATGCTCAGGGAATGGGTAATTCCATACCAAATCGATCTTTTTAATTTCGATATAATTTTGCTGAGAATAGTACTCATAGTTCCTAAGATATCAATGGTCCTTTTTCGAAAAAAATGATTTTTTAAAATTGAGATAAGTTAAAAAATAATGATTTTAAAAATATAAGTTATATGTCATTTTGTAACTCTATTAAAGGCTTTTTATTAAATATTAAAGATGTTTTTGAAATAATATTGTTGCGGTTTTTATTTACGTTATAAATTTTAAACATGAAAACACCAGGTGTTTCGCTTTCCAAATTTTTTTAATTTAATATTTTCTTATTCCTTAACCTTATATCTACATAACAAAATTCAAACTTGGGACAACTATGGGTTTTTAGTTATTGGGATTTAAAAAATCAAAAAATAGATCTCCAATTCTGATAGCGAATATCTAAATGATATCAACATCAATAGATACAATCAATATTAAACGAAATTGGAATATATCCTATTAAGAAAAAAAAAACTAACCGAAAAAATTATCCAAAAAAAAGGTAGCGAATTTTAGAAGTAAGGGGGATTCTTTCCATTCCAAATTGAAAGCCTGCAAAATATCCCTATCAAAAATTTTTTTTTGCAGTGATGAAGTTAGTAGGGTATAACCAGGAAAAAAAGATTACATATCTATCTTTGAAAGGGGGGAACGAGTGATTATATAATCATTTTAAGGTGAGTAATTCAAACGTAACAATTGGATTTTCGAAATTTGCTAGCTTAAGACTAAAAAATTATATATTAGCAAAGGCTAGCGGAAGACATAGTGTATGCGTTTGTAGCATACACCAGAATATTAAACTTATAATTTTAGGCTGTGAATAAGCAACGACTTAAAATGGTGAAGATACATTAACAACTTATAGAGATGTTATAGGCAGAAGGATTTGCAATCCCTTGAACGTGACTCACTCTTAAAGGAACGTATCGAAAAATTATTTATAAAAATGGATATAGCTGTTACGTTTAAATAGTGGGTTTCGGTAGATAGAAAAACTGGAGACTATTTCTCAATTTTCAGAAGAATTTATTAATTATTTTTTCGATAAAATGAATATTCTCATACGCCATTCATTTATTGTGAACAACAAAGTTCATTTCACATAGTTTAGAAAATAATCATTAATTATTTGTGAATTTTCAAAAAATTATTCCTTTAATCCAAGACAAGGTTCAGGGTTATCATTGGACAACTTCGCAAGTTACGTTGCATCCATTCTCAATTTATTATAAAATAGGAGATCAAATAAACAACCTAAGTTTTGTGGTAATATCGGAATCCTTAATTCATAATACTGTTTAATTCCATTTATTCTATGCATTTGATTAATTTTTTAAAAAATAAATTTGATTCAAGCAGCGCAAAAGGTATAAATTTTTTTTTATGCCACTATACCAGAGTATGAAGAAGAGATAAGGCTAAGTGAGAGATTTAGTAAATCTATCTCAATACCTGGGACACAAAAAATTCATGTGTTCCCGATTGGTTTAACTAAACTATATTCTAATTCGTAAACATTTATTGTGGAGAATATAGTATATCCACGTTAGGATCTGTTAATCGATGAGATTAGAGAATATGTAACGTGCATATGAAAACGATTGGTGGTTAGGATTTGTACAAGAAGTGAATGTAATTAGAGATGAAGTAAAAATTAATTTTCTTCACAGGACCAATCCAGCGGCGTAAGATATCCTTTTCCAGCGGCGTAAGATATCCTTTTCCAGCGGCGTAAGATATCCTTTTCATACCAAAAAATATTATTTTAACAATATTTAGCCCATCGGCATACATATAATTTATCGCAAAACTAAATTATCATGGCGACAAAAAAACTAAATTTAATGAAACCCCAAAAATAGGTAATATCGTTCATGAATTTTAATTTATCTATTATATCAACAAAATTTATAAAATAATTTTTCATAAGAAAAAAATGATTATAACCGCAGCTAAATAATCTCATTTCATGATATTAATGATAGAAAATCTTGTTTTTCTTATCTTTAAGAATAAAAGTTTAAAGAAATAATAATCTCAACAAAACGCGTTATTTTATAAAGGAGCGTCATCTATATTTGAAAAAATATTTATTTCTTGATTTTTTAAATTCCAATGACTAAAAAACCCATGGCTGTCCCAAGTTTAAATTTTTTATGAATAGATATAAGGTTAGAGAATAAAAAATATTAAATTCAAAAAAATTTGGAAAGCGAAACACCTTGAGTTTTCATGCTTAAAATTTATAACGTAAATAATAACCGCAACAATATTATTTCAAAAAAATCCTTAATATTTAATAAAAGGCCTTTTAACAGAGTTACAAAATGACATCTTATATTTTTAAAAACATTATTTTATAACTTATCTCAATTTAAAAAATCGTATTTTTTGAAAAAAGGTCATCTTTGCCACTTTTGACCATTGATATCCCAAGAACTATGAGTACTAGGAGCCTAAAATTTTGGATTCGATGCTTTCTAGAAAAATTATATCGAAATTAAAAAGGTCAGCCGAAAAGTTATCTATTTGTTACCCTCATATTTACTTGTTATGACGTATTTATAGAATAAACCCTGGCTTTTCATTTATTGTTTAACCCCCTTTTCGATTAGCGGGTTTTCAAATTCCCTTTAACTGAACCTAAATCAATCAAAACTAATCCCATATATCAAAAGGTTTGACGATGATAATTTGCAAGTTCTAATATTTTGTGCCCTTTTAAATTCACCTAAAATGTACATTATTAATTAGGTTGTAATAGCTGACCCACCTGATAAACAACTCAAAAGAGATAGTTTTAAGAATAAGGGCGATAACCAAAACAATGCTAATACAAACAATGAATCCAGTCATTATCAACATTTACATGCTGGTAGAAAAAGACTCAGAGCAGATAATGAATAATTTTCTAAATAGTATAAACCATTTGTACATGAATTTATATTTTATTTGTTGATAATATTTTTTATACTAAAGATAAGTATTGTATTAATTTATAAGAAAATTTGTTGATATTTGTTAAAGGTCTTATGATATAAATAGAAAATCTAACTACAATGAATGACTCTTTGATATAGACGCTCTTATTTTTTAATACCCAAATTATTGTTAGTATATAGACTACTAAAATAAATAAATAAGTTTATTATATCGAAATATAACAATTAACAAATAATGGAGATTTACAGAAAAATAATAGACCAGATTAATTTGGTTTTTCGTAAATACATACGTTTTATAGAACTGAATCGGAAAAATGTCTAAGCCTTTTTTTAGCGTCACTTGAATTTGTGTTTCTCAAATGATCTTTGATGTGCTGAACTATCAGGTCAATGGCAACTAATAATATTTTTTAAAATTGATTTGTAATATATATAAATAAGGTAGTGTTCGATTAAATTTAGTCGACTAAAACTCAAAAAATTGACTAGACCCTTTGATTTTTTAAAAAATTAATTTATTTATAGAATTCGTTATATTATCAATATAAGGATATATGACGCTTAGTTTCCCACAAATAAATAAATATACCAAAAATAAAAATATTAGTGTTAGTCGACTAAATTGACCCGACTTTTAATTATAGTTGGAAGAACTCTACTAATTAATAACATTAAAGCTATAAAAACAATTTAAGATATACTCATATTTTCGGCTCCCCGAGGTATGATAATGTCTGCATATTTTTTGGTCTGCATGAAATTTAATTTTAAAAATATATACAAGTAATTAAACATTTTGAAATGATTATTACATACGCTCATTAAACAATAATTTGCTAAATAGAGATGTACCGAATACCAGATTTTAAGATAGGTTCCTATAATTATAAATAATTTTTGGAGAACATCTTCCTTTTTAAGCGAATTGAGAAATTAGGCGATAAATACCGCCTCCTTTGATTAAGATATTATATTTTGCCAATTATTAGTCCTAAGACCAGACCTTGATATTTCCCAAAAAGCGAGGTAGGCTGAATCTTGTTGAAACAAGGAAAAAAGTCTTACTATGTTTAGTAAGGCTAATTTAAAAGATCGATTTTTAATCATATTATTGGATACTCGTCAGTTTCAATTAAATTATTGCCAGTCTTTAAAAATTGTTGTCTATACAAAACGTTGACTATTCGTGTTTAACTAATTTCTTTGATATGTAAATTTTAGGATCCAATACAAAAATTATGAGTGACACTAGAGTCTTAAAATATTGGTAAAAATCAATTAATATGGGTTTTATAAAAAAAACCAGACATTGTTCTTCGCGACATTAATCAGGAATCGATATAAAAAGAAATTTTGCATCCAGTATGCTATAACTTGTGAGGAATAGTGAATCATTTTTTTAATTTTTATTATTTTCGGAAAATATTTGCATTCAAAATAATCCACCTATTTAAACCTGTGTGGGGGCAGCAATTTATTTTAAGCTTTTATCGGTGAGCGGAATCTACCGCCCTCTTACATTGGCGGTGTGGCAAGGAATTTTAATAATATATTTATTTATAATACAATCTATTTTTATATCATATATTTGGACACCATTGTTTCATCATCATTAATAGTTTTTAAATCTTTTCGGTATCTAAACCTGTATAGATTTATAATTATTTTGAAATTTCTTTATTCGGTCAATAGATTTATTAGTATAATATAAAAACAAATTTACACCAATCAAAAGATTCTTCCACTAGCTTTACTTTCTGCAGATAGGCAAAGTGCTTTTCTAAATAATTAGCTAGTTTCAGTGACCTTTTTCTTCAAATAGAGAGTACATCATGTTTAGGTACAGTATGTTAAGTAATACATAACATTCCTGCCTCTAATTATTAAATCAATATGATTTTGTTTCAAATTTGATCTATATATTTAATATATTGAGTTTATTCGATACCGTATAAGCATTTTTTAAATTTTATTAAAAATTTGATCCATTGATATCAAGAAAATCGGATCTGCTGTATCAGTTAAAGCTACTATTAATTAATTTTTGTATTATATATATTTTTTTGATTATTTATATTACTGCAAATCTTTTTGATAGTTTACTGATGGATATGTAAATATAAGTTTTTGTCAAATAATTGGATATAAAAATGGCGTAAAATTGGGATCGGTACATCTCTCTCCAACAAATCATGTAGGTTCCTATTTGCTACGAATTAAAACTGAAAAGCTAAGAATAAAAATTAGAAATATTTTTTTTAATACACAAATAAAATGATTGTAATAGTATTAATATAAAAATGAATTCAGACAAGTCATTTAATTGCTAAGGAATAATTTTCTATTAATTTATCTAGTATTCTTAATAAAAAAAAATTGTCAGTATTTTATTAATTTTACTAGTATAAATAAAAATGTTGGGGTTTAATAAGGTTGGCAACAACCAATAAATAGCTGTTCCAATAGTAAAGTATTGGTTTAAAGCACTATCAATATTATTCATAAAAATATTTAGTTAAAAGCGATATTTTTTTGTTGAATTAAGAGAAAATGTAATGACATAATAATTACTTTAGAAAGATTAAAAATATATAGATTTCTATATTATAGAAGTTTAACATCTGCGATATCAATATTTTTGTATCTGTGAGAAAACATCCATATCAGTTATTTATTTATGATATCGTAATTGAAGTCAAGGATATAGAAAACTTAAATATTGCTGACTATAAAATCTTCAAGGAAAATCATCCAACTTACACCTTTTCTGAAAATGTTTCTTTAATTTTAAAATAATGATTTTTATTTTCTAATTTATATGAATAATATAAATAAAAACAATAGTTTGAAAAGAAAAACAATATTGGTTTTGTAAGCCAACCCTAGTGTACATCTTTTTTAATTTAAAAGATTTACCAGTAAATATATTTTTTCCCCAGTATTAAAAGATATCTAGTTCTTATAAATAATGTGCTAAATAAAATAGTGATTCTTAAAGCTTTTCAATAATGAATGGGATCTAGTTAATGATCTATTCGCATTACCAAATCCATTCAGACTCTGTACAAATTGTTTCCTCCTAGAAGGGATCAACAACATTTAGGTTTATTATTTATTGGATCTGATAGCTCATACATACCATTTGTCTAAGAGAAAATATGCAAAATAGCTTGCCATAGGTTCAATTATGATCTGAAATTTCAAAATCTTAAAATTGTTTCAGAATATTTAAATTCGAATTCTAGGACATCATTGCAATTTTTAATTAGACATTTAAATAGAGAAAGTTAGAAATGCAGAGAGTGAAATTCAAGTTAAAGATAGTGGGCAAACATTCAATTCAAAGATGGCTAAAATAGCTCATAAACATTCCTTTCTAAACAACAATTATAACACTATCAACCTAGAACAGGATGCGTTGGAAAAATAACGACAGTAACTGTTTAATTTAGTTAGGAAAATATTTTGTATACCTGAAACCAGAACACTTATAATTTTCCCATCGTTAGATTAATACTAAATGTCAAAAGAAAATTTTTATGCCTTTAGTCCTATCAATCTCAACATTATAATATTTATTTTCAACAATTATAATTTAACAAAATTTGTTTTAATAAAAAGTGATACAATATTACTGATGGTAAAAAGAAATTTGCTTAGTCTATTTCGGAGAATGAAATATATAAATTTATATAAGACAAGAAATGATCTAAACTAAGCTATATTAATGTTGAAACTATATCCCAAATAAATTACAAAAATATGTAATAGATTTATTTTAATTAAATTCATCTAAATTTTAAAATATATGGCACCGTTGAAGCCAACACCAATTTAAAAGGCGGCGGCTATGGCGCGCCAGTGTAAAACGGCCGCAGCCGATGGAGACTTCGGCGCACAGGTCTTGTTCAAGTTAAATTTTTTAGCGGTGTATCGTGTGAAAGTGATTATCGTGAGATTTCGAAATCTCACACCATCAAAATCTCACGGCTAATACCGGAAAATGATTTCATGAGTTGATTTTTATAGCTTCAAATACATTGGGGGCCATTTAAATACTCAAAATCTCACGGCTATTCAATTTTTCTAAATCTCATAAAAAATTTTAAAAACCTCACAATATGAATTTCAATATGCTTAATAAGTTAAATTGTCTCAAATTTAAAAAGTCAGATTTGAATGATGCTGTTAAATTGAAAACATTTCTATATAACACATTTTAATTTGTATGTATTTTTTCTTTCTATTAAAAGGGGGGAAAATGTTGAACCCCTGGATAAGCCCTTATTTGATCAATAAAATATTTGATGAGTGTAATAATATATTATATAATGTAATAATATATTATATAAATTATTTATTGTATATCAAGGTGTATATGATGCCTCTGGTAAATTTTCGGTCATGCAGAAGTTTTTCAATAAATTAATGTAGATCGAGAAGATATATCTTGTATAGGAAATCTGAAAAGGAAAAGCTAAGGTGCCTATGGGTAGCAATGGGATCGGAATCTTTGGTTTAGGAACTACTTAATTGACTTAAACTTGTTTTACAATATTATTTTATAAATTTCATATTGTATAAATAAGAAGGTTAGTAAGCCTTCCTCAATATCTCTAAGCTATAATTCCAATTATTACAAATGATAAATTATGTAATATTCATATATTGCCAAGATAACACTCATGATTATTGCTTGGAGTCTATTATGAACCTTATCATCCCAGGCACTTTTTGTAATATAAAATACAGCCTATAGATAGACGGCATCGGGTTTTTAGATATTATACCGATTTACATAAAAAAAAGCAAAACAATTAGATTTACCATTTGAAATTTTTTTGAATGTACATAGATTCGAGCCAACAAGAATAGCCACTACACACGTAACATTCAATTTTATTTGTATATAATTATAAATAATCGACTATTTAATCATAAGCAATTTAATTTATATTATTATAAAGAGAAATTTTATTATATCCTTAACTCTAATGATGTTCCTTGAATTTACATTTCTCATTATTCGTCTTAATAATCTTAAAAAAATAAAGATGAGCTCTTGAAATGAAACAATATATCTCCTGAACCGATATTTTTTATCAGATCAGATCGGGCCGATATTTCACCCATTTTAAAATATCGGTTGGCCAATATTATAAAATTTTCCGATCCGACCCCGATATAAAATGGCGTTTTAACAAAAATAAAATGTTATAAAATTTTAAAAAAAAGTTATATCTAAAAAATCGAAATCCCATTTTTATGTTTATTTTTTAAATAATAATAATTAATTAATAAACATTCTGTCTTATTGTTTTTTTTGAGCATTCTGTTTATAAAAGTTCGATAATCTGATTTTAGTGAAGCTGGTGATATTGGCAGTTACCATCGACGCAGACTGACCTCTGATAAATTGAAAATTTTGGTATTTCTAAATAGAAATCTTCGATATATAAATTTTGAATATTTATTTCAAATTTAATAATATAATTGTTTTGTTTATTATGTATATAGATTAATTTTATTACTTATAATATAAAAGTGATTTAACAATAAAAATATTTTATATAGGTTGTATTCCATATTAAATCAACCAAAAAAAGTCGATTCTCAACCCGACCCCCTTCGATTTTTTTACACTATATTTATTTTTAAATATCTCAAAAAGTAACTAAGCTAAAAACATGATTTTAATTTTATTAAATAGCTCGAAAATAGAGCTCTTTATTATGATATAAAATTTATTTTATTGAAAAAAGTCTATTACCAAAAACCGGAAATGGCTATAAAATAAAAATTGCTCTTTTTTTTCTTTTAAATTTTTTTTACAGATAGACATTATACTTCTTAATATTTGTACAAAATCCTAGATTGGGACGAGTACTGGGCCAAAGGTTATTACACTTTTAATATAAGTAGTATGGCTTAAATCCTATATTATACTAAATATATAGTAATTTACGAAACAAATAAAAAGAAATTCGTTTGGGATCGGGCCGGATATATTTTTTTATAAATCTTTCTGGCCGTGTTAAAAAAATTAGGCCCTATGCAGATCACTAGTAGACATTGTGTCATATTTAGCACATAAGTTTAGCTATTTTAAATTAGAAGGAAAATAATTGTAAAAATATTTATAACTTTATTTAGCTAATTAATGGGAAATTAATATTCGAATAAACATATTAATTAAATAATATCATATATTAAATAATCTAATGAATAGAATAAAATTTGACTTTCATTTTTCCTTCCATTGGAATAAATGAATGATATTTTTCTGTCCCGGGAATTCGTTTGGCCATTAAAAATCTATTTTCAAGATTGATTTCCATTCTTAAATATTCTACGTTGCTAAAAAATATATAATTAATTCCCGGGATATTGATTCTCGGATAATTATATAAGTCAATAGGAGTTATTATATAATTTTCATGAGGACGTTGCAGGGTTGATCTAGCCACCAACCTCTTAGTAATTCCTCCTAAATTATCGCAGGGAGTTTTGCCATGTGCAGTTGCAAAAAAATCCTTGATCCCAAAATCATTATAATGGTTGTAGAGGCTTACAAAGTTTTTTTTGTTTTTATACTGGGTAATAGCTCCATCAGAAAAATAAAATATTATTGAAATCTTTCTTTCAAGAATATAATTAATTTTATTTGAAACAAATGAAAGGAACAAGTATTGTGTTTTAGACAATCTGATATAACCACGTAACTTATTTGTTTGATGATATCTCTTTCGCGGTAATAAATCATAAATGGATGAAGTGTTTCCTGATTATTAGTCCAATGGAAACCTTGAGAGTGATCTTGAACTATGAAAGCGTAGTTCGGATATTATTAGATATTCCCCATGCTTCAAATTCGATTTTATTGACTTAAAAATTAAAGATTGTTTCGAAGAAATAAATGCACGAGGAATTAAAATGTTTAATTTTTCAACCAAATACTCCACAAATTCGTTGGCCGACTTTGTTAAAGTTTCTAATGTAGTACGGTCAGCTGCCAACCATTGTTTAAATGTTATATAATCTATGGCATTATTATCAAACAATAAGTGTAGTTTTTCTTTAAGTTCCAAAGTGCCAGGACACATTTGGCATTTTCTTAAGTAACAGCAAGGCTGGGGTAGATTGCATAGAATTTGTGCAATGTAGTGTTTATAATCTTTTAAGGGAGGAAATAAAAAGTTTTGTCCAAATTAAGGCGATTTGCGTTATATTTAAAATAATACAATACAATTTGGTAAATGTTGTTTTGACTTTTTTAACATTAAAAAAATGCAAAATAATAAGATTTTTTAGGATTTTAGTTTTAATGGTCATATTTTGCCCACTTTTAAAATAAATAATTACTCTATATTTGGTATAATATAGGATTTAAGCCATACTACTTATATTTAAAGTGTAATAACTATTGACCCAGCAATCGTCCCAATCTAGGATTTTGTACAAATATTAAGAAGTATAATGTCTATCTATAAAAAAAAATTTAAAAGAAAAAAAAAGCAATTTTTTTATAGCCATTTCCGGTTTTTGGTAAAAAAAAATTTTTAATAAAATAAATTTTATGTCATATTAAAAGAGCTATTTAAATCATGTCTTTAGCTTTATTACTTTTTGAGATATTTAAAATTAAATATAGTGTATTTTGGAATTTCCGCGTTTCTAAAGATGGCCATATCTTACGAAGTAAGCTGAGTTGAGGATTAAAATTTTATCTTTTTACTAGTTAGTGTATATACTACCATCATACAAAATTTTAAAAAAATCGAAGGGAGTCGGGTTGAATCTTCAGTTGATTTGATACAACATAGTTTTAGAATTGCAATTGAATTGAATATAAACTATAACTGATCATTATAAAATATTTAAATAAGATAAGTTATGGTATAGTTAAATTGTAGATGTTATACTAATAAAAAGTATATTAAAAATTAAAATCATTGTCATCTTTACATAAAACAAAATTAGATATGATAACGAATTGGTAATCGGCCGATATCAATTTAATATCGGGAATATCGGATCGGCCTCCAAAAAGTGATATCGGTACACCCCTAATTAAAATATATTCTAAAACAGATTATAATTATTAAACAGTTAGGTTTGATACCATTAATGTCTCTATATTATAAATTATTTAAAATTCATGTTATGAAAATTTTTACTTTATTATCGCTTCAAAAACATTAGGGGCCATTTAAATCAAAATCTCACAACCCATCCGTGGGATTTTGATGGTGTGGTGTGAGATTTCGAAATCTCATAGATCACTTTCACACGTTACCCGGGTCGAAAAAAATAAATTTACATGGTTCTAATATGAACTATGCTTTAAAAATTATCAACACCCCCCCCCCCCCCAATATGACCTGAACTAATTTTGACATAAAAAAATTTGTGTTGTTCCAAGAATATTTTGAAAATCGAATCGATAATTATTCATTTCAAAAATTAAATTGATTTCGATTAAATTACTTATTAAGAAAAATATTTAAAATATCAAAAAAAATCTGAGAGAATCATTTTCTTCTGAGAAAAGAAATCAGCAAAATTCTTTTAAGCTTTTCAGTATTAAATTCTGATCCGTAAGGTACTGAGCCTTTCCGTTTGTATTCCGAGCGAAATAAAATATCGATTATATAATCTAATTTTTATGTTTAAATTCAAATGCTATATTTTATAAATAATCATTTTTTACCGGCAAACAGAATTCCTCAAAAGCAGGCTTGACAAATTTGGTGTATTGATGTAAAATATTTTCTAGATTTCTTCCTCTCTCAACAATATCCCTTTGAACTTTTGCATATTATAAAAAATAATCCCTTATGTAAAGATAGATAAAGAGTATCAATGATTATATTCATATCTTCGTGCACTGAATAAATAAATTAAGGCGGCAAAAATCGTGATTTTTTTTATTTAAAACAAATAATAATTTGATAAATCTCAATTAAATGATCATAGATTCAAAAACCTCAATAATTTTTTATGGACTATACTATAACCGTGCAAATAGTGGATAAGAGATTTATTTATTAAGATCACTTTGTTATATTTAAATTTATTTCAGTAATATGCAACTTTATATTTTAAAAATCTTTCTAAACAAATAATGAACCTGAGACAGCGATAGAACATGGCAAAATTATACCCGAAGTTACATAAATATCTTTTCAATTTTAGTAAGTTCAAGGTATTGTTGTTAAACAGCTCGTTTTGAGCCGATTTTTACAAACGGCTACCTCAATATTTTACCCAGAAATATATTACGCAAGTCTGAAGATTCTGTTCATAAAAGTCACAAAGATCTAGAAATATATTCGCGAAATCTCGAAGCTTAGGCAATATTAATTTAGCTTAAATGTTTAGTTAGCCGTTTATAAAAATCGGCTCAAAACGAGCCGTTTAACACCTGTTCCAGGCAATATTTGACTCAATAAAAAAATGTTCGCAGGTAACAAATATGAACCCATTTAAATAGTGGTTCTAATAGGAGAATTTAATGTAAGACATATTATGTGCATATCAAAACAATTGTCTACATCTAACTCACTGAAGATTTTCTATATTTGGAGCAGTTCATTCTAAACTTAGAAATCTGTTGGGAACTGAGGTACATATTCAAATTCAAAAATAAATATTTATCGTAAATTTGATTTTTAGATATTATTTATTTAATGTTATTAACAATTGTGATCATATTTCTTAGATTATCCAAATAAAAAAAATTTTAAGTGTAGTTTTTCTAGAAATAATAATTTAATTTTATAAAAAAAATTTAAAACAGAATATTAACAATATTCTTTTTTATTATAATTTTACATTTAAATTATGTAAGTCAAAATTTAAAAAGAAAATAAAGGGTCAATTAGGCAATTCATTATTTCTAAATATTAAAAAAAGTTCGGCTGATTCAAATCACGATTCAAAACAATTTTATTTAAATCTGCCAATCTCTTACAATATAAACATGAGAAAAATATTTAAAAAGTATTTTACCTCTTCTGGCTAATCTGATATCCGCGTCAGTGTCAACGAATAATTTCATGTCAAATATATCCCTAATTTCAGGAAAATAAAAAATCAATATTCCCTCGCAAAGGATAACATCAGAAGGCGGGATAGTTATAAATTCATCTAATTTTCTTTATTATAAATATAAGTTTGAAAAGGGGTAAAAAAAATTATTAAAAATAAGGGCTTTTTTTATAAAAAATAATAAAATTATTGTAGAAAAAAAGGTATTATTGACCTTAAATTTAAAAATAAGTTGTTTACTAATAAAAAAAATTTATATTTATTATCCAGATATTTTTTATCATCATGCCATTAGACATTTTTAACCATATTACTTTTTAAATTAGGAAGCATACTTAACTGAGACCTGTAAGCCTGGCCCTAAGCCCGAGTATATAGATTGAGCCATATTTTTTAAAATATTCTGAAGCCTTATAAAATATTTTTAAAAAATGCCAGGCCTGGTCGAATATTCTAAATTGCCATCATTATCTACAAATTAATAAATAAATATATTTAAAAATTGTATATCATAGCAATATATCACATTAATTCCCTTATCATATTTCCATTTTTTCGATTCTTAGAAAATAGGACAGACAAATCATTATTTTAGGTGATACTCAATCAAATTAAAGCAAAGATACAACACTCAATATTCAAAATATAATACTTTTTTAAGAAAAAATTTATTTTAGATAAGTATCCTTTTTAGCATTTTTTTCTCTGACTAAAATTCAGGAAATTGTTCCCAAGGAGAGGATGCAAAATGGCTGATATTTATATGAATGACTATATAAAATTACAAGAGGAACAGGAAATAAAAGAATTATCATCGACCAATAGAAAATGTGGTAATTCAAACTCATTCTTTTTAGGACAAATGGAAACATAATAAATTTTTTAAATAAATATCGGATCGACATGGAGCGTTTTCAAAAAATATCGGATAGTGTCGATATTTTTTGAAAAACCGATTAGATCCAAATTTGTTATTGTTTATTTTATAAATAATTTTCATAATAATAATATTTGTTGTAATGTTTAAAAAAATAGTTAAAAAATTTATACTATTTTTTATTAAATTATCTGCAACAAGAAAAATTTTAAAATACCTAACGAGTCACATTAAGCTAATGTAACGGCTCGATTTAGCCAATTAAAACGTTTAGCTCAATATTTTGGCTAAATGTAAATTACTCAAGCTTATTGATTTTGCCCATAGATGGCAGAAATTGGCGAAATTTCGAGGCTTAGGTAATAATATTTTGATGATAATCTTGATTTATCCCTTTTTAAAAATTGGCTAAATGGAGGCGTTAACAACACTACATAAGGATTGCATAATTTTAAATGAGATTATTAACTTTTGGGGAATAAAAAAATACATTAAAGTTAGTTGGTTTTAAAAATAAAAAATAATTATTAACAAAGATTGTATATAAAAGTCAATATAGATATCGGATCGGGTTTTTAGTAATATCGGATCGATGAAATTTGTTGATCGGCATAGCCCTATTATATATGGATTTCATATTCACTGAAGTAATTCCATGACAAATCGATCAGTGATTCGGCCGACCATCTCAAAAATGAATGAAACTTGGCATGTTAGTTATTTATGTTGTAAATGTTAATAAAATCCAAATTTTAGAGCCTCAGCTCAACCAGATCCAAAGATATACGCCTTTAAAGTAGAGAATCGCGTAATGCGTGATTTCTTATATCTTGTTTTTCTTAAAAAATACTTAAGATAGAATTACAAATAATATATCACTTTATAGCCCTTAAAATTTTACATTGGAAAATATTGAAAAAAAGTTAAAAAATTTTAAGTGTTTTTGTATTTCCGGTAAAAATAAAAAATTAACATTCCTGGGAAGGGATTTTTTTTTGGTTATGATACTCTCTAAAGATGTTTATTACCTTTATATTAAACTATTTGATGAAAAATCTCGATAGCCATTTTTGTTTTTTTAATTTTATTAAAATTTTTATTATTTTTGTAAATAAAAAGGATAATATAGATGGCGTTATACTAAATTTATTAATAATATATTATATTTAATAATAATATATTTTATATCGGTATTAAAATCAAAAGAAATCGATTAAGTATAACCAGTATGATGTCCTGAGGCAATAAATGAGGAAACGGCCCATATAAAGATACTTTAAAATTATATTCAAGCTATTATAAAAATATATCTATTTATCGCAATCCATTTTGCACTTAAATAGAAATTCTTGAGGCCGTAATTTGTATATATTTCACACTTCTGGATCTACTATCGTTATTATTTGAGATTTTATCATATAATTTTATTTTTCATTCCTTTCTTTCTATTAAATTTTTATATCGATAAATAGGAAATTTAATTATCAATCATGATTGAAAAGAACATAAGGATTAAAAAAATATTTCTTTTTTTACTTAAAATTTTTTTTTTAATTTAAAAAATTGTAATAATGAAATCACTTTGAAGTAATCCATTCATTAGAGAAGGCCATAAGTCTATTTCAAAAAATCTATTGTTTGTTGGTTATATACATATAACCACCAGCAATACAATTTAGAAGAGATTAAACTATGAGAAAGATTCAATTTAGCTCGTCCCATTCCAGGAACTCGGGAAATACATGCTGTTTTTCCTTTGAGTTTAAGTAAACTTAAATCAAAAATATATTCATATGCAAAGGACTTTCAAATTAATAATATCTCAAATGCCGATTTATCTTTTGCAGATAATTTGTGTTTTGCTGATATTAAAGGATTCGTAACATGTGTTTATGACAATTTTTGGTGGTTAGCCACAGTACTGAAAAAGAATGAAAATACTGAGGAGATATATATTTCCTTTTTACATCCCCATGGACCATCACCATCCTTCTTTTATCCCACACTTGAGGAAAAGATATGGTTGCCCATGAATCAAATAATAACGATAGTAGATCCTATAACAGTGACAGGACGTACCTATAAATTATTGCTTCAGGAAATTCTGTTAATAAGTGCAAAATGGGATAAGATTAAAACAAGAGGTATTTTATTTTATAATTGTTTGTATATGAAATTTTATATGTTTATTTTAAAATATAGCGTCCTAATAACCATATCCGTATGGGCCGCTTCCTTATTTATTGCCCCAAGACATCATACTGGTTATATTTAATCGATTTTTTTTTATTTTAATACCGATATAAAACATATTTTTATTAAATTAAATATATTATTATTAAAATTAATATAACGCCATCTATATTATCCTTTTTTATTTATAAAAATAATAAAAATTTTAATAAAATTAAAAAAACAAAAATGGCTATCGAGATTTTTCATTAAATAGTTTAATATAAAGGTAATAAACATTTTTAGAGAGTATCAACACCAAAAAAAAATCCCTTCCCAGGAATGTTAATTTTTTATTTTTACCGGAAATACAAAAACACTTAAAAAATTTTAATTTTTTTTTAATATTTTCCAATGTAAAATTTTAAGGGCTATAAAATGATATATTATTGGTAATTTTATCTTAAGTATTTTTTAAGAAAAACAAGATTTAAGAAATCACGCATTATGCGATTCTCTACTTTGAAGGCGTATATCTTTGGATTTGGTTGAGCTAGCACTCTAAAATTTAGAATTTACAAAATAAATAACTATCATGCCAAGTTTCGTTTATTTTAAAGATGGTCGTCCGAAAATCGCGTTTTTTTGGTCGATTTGACGTGGAATGACCCGACCCCTATTCTTAAAATAAATTATATAAATATTTAACTAAAATATTTTAAAACATGGCAACAATTATTTGGTAGGAAAAGAATGTAGCAATGCTTAAATTTATTCTATGATTGCAAATTTTATGAATAGCCCAAATTTAATATTATTCCCTATCCCCAAATGAGCCAGAGTGAGTTAAAAATTAGATGAATGATTGCCAAGGATTATAAGTACCCATCCCCATTTCTCAAAAAAAAGTTTCAATTTTTTAAAAAAAGAGTAAAGAATGTCTAATTTTGGCATCATTGATACCAAGATATTTGCCCAATTTATCAAGACTAGTGTTGTTAAACGGCTCATTTTGAGCCGATTTTTAAAAACGGCTAACTCAATATTTTATTTGCAAGCCTTATGATTTTGCTCATAGGTGGCACAAAGGTTTGAACATCTATTAAAGAAATCTCGAGTAGACAATAATTTTCTGGCTAAAATATTGAGTTAGCCGTTTTTAAAAAGCGGCTCAAATCGAGCCATTTAACAAGACTAAAATACTTCACTTTCTAGTAGTAATTAATAAGAATTTAATTGGGACTCAATTTTGGTCAAATTAAGGAGTTGCTAAAATTATCAAGAGCCCAAATTAGACAAGTTTTTTTGTTTTTCCCATATATTTTTGATAATATTTCCCAATATAGTTTGTATAAAAAATAAATAATATATTTTTTTTTGATCTTATATGGATAATAATTAGGGATGTACCGATATTTTTATCGGATAGTATCGGGCCGATATTTCACCCATTTTAAAGTATCCGTTAACGGCCAATATTATAAAATTTTCAGATCTGATCCGATAAAAAGGTTAAAAATAAAATATAAAATTTTTAAAATGTTATATCTAAAATCATTTATTTTTATAAATAAAATCGAAATCCATTTTTATGTTTATTTTTTTAATAATAATTAATTAATAAACATTCTGCAATATTGTTATTTTTTGCGCATTCTGTTTATAAAAGTGCGCGAGAATCTCTTCAGAATCTATTTTTAGTGAAACTGGTGATATTGCAGTTACCATCGCCACAGGCTGACCTCTGATAAATTGGAAATTTTGGTATTTCAAAAAAGAAATCTTCGATTTATTAATGTTAAATATTATTTTAAATATTTATTTCAAATTTCATATATTCGTTTATTACTTACTAGCTAATAACCCGTCAAGAATGACAGGGCTGAGGGGTAATTAGTTAGTTTGTATATGATACTAAATATACTTTATTAATATATTTTATAAAAATATTAAAATTTAGGAGAAAAGAGGTAAATTTATGAATCACACCTCATAAGATATTCTTAATTTCTGATTCATCTATCATTGATTAAGGGAGAAAAGTATGATGACTCATCTTTCTTGAAGGGCAAAATAAAAAATTTATAACTAAGAGTACCAAAGCTCCCATTCATTGCTGAGCCCATCAAAAATGAAGGGGAATGCGAATTTTCTCCTTACTCTTATGATAGTTGTTACCTGTTATTTGAAAATGATATCTAATTTATTCTTTATAACCCCACTCCCACCTTCATCATTAAAACTAAGTTTAAATGCTATGTTTTGAGTCAAAATATATTTAAAGCTTTTACTTGATACCCATATCAATATTATTTGTTAAAATATTACTATCCATCTATGCTTAATATTTTATATTAAAAAAATTCCCAAACAAGGTCTATGGCCATGGCCATAATAATTTTGGAAAAATTTCCCTAAGCCCAATCAAAGATCATAATAATTTTGGTAGTTGAGAACTGGAACAATATATTTAAAAAATCATAATGAATTTAGAAATACAATTAAAATCAGATTTTATGGGTCTTGGTTTTTTGATCAGGCCCAGCTCAGGTTTGCAAAAAAAAATTGTTTTATGTCAATGTCTGATCCATAGTTAGTAATAAAAAAAATTCCCAAACATCCAAGCTGATAATAATTTTGAAAAATTTTCCCAAGCCCAGCCCAATATAATTTATAAAAATGTTTTCAAAGCCCAGTCTGACCCATTATAATTTTAAAATTTTTCTCAAACCTTCCCTCGACAAATACAGCAGATAGAAATCCTGAAATCCTTATTCTCCAACTTCATAAGATTTTATATCCTGAGCTTATCATTCTTTTCACCCAATATGATTTCTATCACAAATTTAAATTTATTTTAAATATTACAATAGAATGGAATATAAAATTAAATTTAAGACTGTTGTTAAATTACAATAGAAATAAATGGCAAAATTTTATGAAAATTGCATGGGACTTGGTTTTTTAATCAGGCCTGGTTATGTCTGCAAAAAATTTTTTTTAGATAGATATAAGTCAACGTATAGGGGTTTTCTAAATACCAGCCTAATTTGCTAAATATAGACCAAAATTTATTAAAATATAATAAGACCCTTATTATTTAACATATATTATAATGGAATCAAGTGGTGGAGTCCGGCCTCCTATATATCACCCCACCCCCTCACCCACAAGGACGGAACCACCAAATTGGATTAAGAAAAAATTATGATCTTTGCTTTTGCTGGGATTTGAACCCAAACCATCGGATTGGTAAGTGAGACTCTTGTCAATTAGGCCACAGATGCTTTTCAAAATTAACGATTTATTAAATATATTATAAATAAATTTGGTGGTACCTATCCAAATTAAAATACAAATTTGATAGTTACTACCTTAAGGCAAAACATATTATTAATCTGTCTAGCCCATATATAATGAAAACAATAAGTGCCCTTAAAAAGAATAAAAAATAGATATGTTTATTTAGAGATTTACCTATCTTGGCTTGGAAAAAAATTTTCAAAATTATTGTCACAAAAAATTAGGCAATGGTAATAACGGCAAAATTATAAAAATATCAGCTATTGATTAAATATTTATATTTAAGTTGGTGCATGCATGCGTAAGGCATACACTTATGAAACAGGAGTTTAGTTGTTCGCCTCTTGTAGAAAGCAAAAAATTAACATTGCACTATATAGTGTCCTATTTTAAATACATCAAGATCATTGGAAAACGATCATATGGAGTGGAGATTATATATATTAGATTATGTATATAGATTAATGTTATTACTTATTATATAAAAGTGATTTAACAATACTTTATATACTTTTAGAATTGCAATTGAATTTAATATAAACTATAACTGATCATTAAAATATATTTAAATGACATAAATTATGGAATAGTTAAATTATAGATGTTATACTAATAAAAAGTATATTAAAAATTAAAACTTTTGGTATCTTTACAGAATACAAAATTAAATATGATATCGAATTGGTAATCAACTGATATCAATTTAATTCAGGAATATCCGATCAGCCTCCAAAAAGTGGTATTAGTACACACCTAATAATAATCTTGATTTTTAGTATGTAAATTTAATAAAGATATCATGTAAAATTAAGGAATTAAATATATGCCTTTTGAGAATAATGATTTGACAAGGGGTTTAATCATGCCAAATCACACACTTCCCACCACCCTTTTGATTAAAATAAAAATTTGTATAATGGTTATATTATATTAGTTTAAAAAACCAAATTTAAGCTCTTTGTCTTTCATATATCCTGAAAGGGTCATTAAAAGTGCAAAAATCATCATTTTTAGTTTTCCTGCTTAACAAATTTGTTATATATTAAATAATCTTTAAACAAATATTATTTATAATTAAGTAAACCATAAAATATTTCATGAAGGTCATTTTATTAATTTTTTGAAGGATGTTTTGCCAAATTCTTTTTTAAAAAATATGTTCTTTTACTAACAAAATAATATTTTATACAATGGAGTTGGCATTAATTAAAGACATTTTCAATAAAATATCAATTACATCTGTTTAAATATTTATTGAAATTACTGATTTTTTAAATTTCCCATAATGTTGTAGGTGAAGCCTAAATAAATTAAGATATATTTTAAAATTTAGCTAATGATATCTATTGGCATATAATATATAGGTTCAGCCTGTAATTGATTGACTAAAGAGAGGATACTTAACCACCTCCCCACAAAATAATAAAAAGTAAAAATAAGAAGAATTGAGACTAATTTTTATAGAGGTTGATACCTCTAAGACTAATGGTAGGAGCAAGTTATAAATTAATTTAATTTATAATTATTAGTTATCTTTTTAAATAACATATCTATGGTAAAAATTTGTATTTATGAAAAAGAATCTTTTCATTTTTATTAATATAAAATTTTAAAAAATTAAAATGGGTACCTTTAAACTTTTCTAAATCGATAATGATTCTGACAACCCTTTTTAAAATTGTTAAAATAGCTGGAATTATTTAAATCAATAAGTAGTTTATTTTCGCCTACTAGCACTCCTAAATCCCAATATATATGGGGCCTATAATTTTTAAATTGCTTATATCTTAAAAACTATTTAAGGTAAAAATAAAAAAATTATAATAATTTTATAGGTAAAAAAAATCTCTTTTGAATCACTTGCTGATTTAGCCTTTACATGTGTTTTTAAGCAATTAGGAGAGTTGGTTTTTAAAAAAAATTGGCCTTTTATAAATTTATAAATATACAATGTGAAAATTCTGACATTATCAGTTCTGCCGAAATATGCATTTCCCAAAAATTTAAATTTTTATTTGCATTAAATAGATAGGACTAAACAAAATTACAGATTATGGTTAAAATTTTGTTGCTAGCTTACCAATAACGTGATATTTTTACTTAATATTAAAATATTTCAAATTTAAGAGGCAGTTGGATGTCCCTCAGACAACTTAATGTAACAAGTTTCCAATAATAAATCTCTTTTGTATAATTTTTTTATTATTCATATTTATTAATGATATTGAAATACAGATAATCAAATTCATTCCATAATTTAAAATATATTTGAAACAAAATTTAAAAGCTATAAATAATTTAAATTATTTTTTATAAATATAAAAAAGGATATTTGTAATGTAGCATTATTTACAAAAAATTGTATTTAATTCTTATATATTAAATAAAATGGTCAGAAATTGTGAAAACAAATAAAATAATTTTTATTTGAAAGTATAAACTTTGTAATTTTGATATTAAATGTTATTTACAATTATGTCACTTTTAAGATATATTTTGTCACTTTGAACCCTAATATCTCCAAAGATAAAAATATTATGAGGCTAAAATTTTAACTATTTTTTTATCCTTTCTTTGCTTACCAAATTTTTAAAAATTGAAGAGGGTCAGCCAAAAATCTCATTTTTCTATGATACTGATATGAATCTAATAAGAAATGAAACAAAAAAAGTATTAGAATGATTATCTTTTTTAAAACTGTCTTAATCAATAATTATTAAAGCATTCAGTGTGAACTAAATAATTTAGCACTTATTTTGTAAATAATTTTAGACCTGTAATATTATATTAAAAGCATATTCAATTTTTTGACTTTTAAGTATAGAATATTATATAAATACTTCAGAAGTATGTTTTATAAATAGGACATAGAAGCTGAAATTTCAAATTCTGAAAATATAAAACTGGTCTAAAATTAATAACCAAAATTTTTTTTAAAAATGTAAGCTTCAGTTTATTATTATAAGAGATGAGTAATTTAAAATATATTACAAGAACCATAAATTGCACAATATATTACCTGCAATTATTTATATAATCATATACGGGAATATTTACAGTCCTCCTTGCAGACATTTGAATAAGATTATCTTTTAACATATCAATGTCAATTGCATCTGGATGATCAAAATTAAAATTGCCACTTTGAAATAATTGATTTTCTTCTGAATCCAAATCTCTATAAAAACTATCCATGCAAAGTACACTTACATTATTGTTGCTTATAATTTTGTTTTCAAATATTATTTTTAGACTTGATTTATAGTTTGCGTATGATTCAATATTATTGTAATTAAGGTTTAAGCGTTCAATGATTTTTGAACAAACCGATGTCTATACATAATATACTATTACTTCTTTTTTTTTAAATAAATGCAAACTTTTCCGGATGCAGTTCCTCCTGCAACCCCTATAATAAACGGTTTACGATAAGGCTTGATATCATTAAACGCATTCGCATCCATATTGAATGTTAGAAGTTCGCCCATGGAAAATTCAACTAATTCTGTTCTTGAATCTCAAATGTGGAAAAAATCGTCTGTTACTCAAATGTGGAGAAAATTGTATTTCTTTGAACCTAATAGCATAACTTGTAATTATAATCAATATAAATAATTAATTCATTTAATAATTTAAATAATTATTCATCTAATAATTTAAATAATTAATTCATTTAATAATTTAACATGGAATCTATCACCATCAGATTTTATTTAATAACACTAAACTTAATTATATTTTCTTAAATATTTAAAGAAACTTTCACCATTTAACCAAACAAAAATTTTCAATCAAATTAAAATAAACAAAAACTATCTTGGAATCAATTCAGGGCTGAGATAGGCCAGTTCTCCCGAGGTTAATGCAAAATTATGCAATATTCAACCAACCAAAATTTAATACTATCGAGATAACCAATGTATTTATGATATCTATATTTTAAAAAAATAGTCATTTTTGTTTAGAAAGAAAGACTCGAACTTTGATACGGAGTAAAAAAAAAGACCCATATTTTGGGCCGAAGTCGTGTTTTTCGGCCCCAACTCTGGTCAAAAAAAGATCCAGACTTTGAGTTGGAGTCAAAAAAACCATATTTTGGGCCAAGGTTGTATTTCAACTCGATTCGAAAAAATGATCCAGACTTTATATCAGAGTCGAAAACATGACCCAAAACTTGAGTCAGCTCTATTCAAACCAACTCGGCTCAGCCTATTAACAATGACATTTTAATTATTTTACTAAGTACACAGAAAAGAACAAATATCTGTCTGTAAAGATCATAGAATCATAAGATTCAAAAATATTTTTAACGGGGGAAAAGAAACCTTAATGGATTTAGAAGTAATTGATTTCTAAATCACAATTTAAAATCAGATATTCAAGAGTCAGCCTAAAAAGTATGTTATAGTTCTTATATAGCTTATAACTATTTTCTGTTTACTGGCAGGAAAAAATGATTAAGAATTAATAAGTATTAAAAATGACGCATTAAAGTATTTCTATAATTTTTGTGTTGACATGTCAATATTAGCAATTTATTTCTTATGAAGAACTAAATTTTAAATATTTACTAATAATTGATTAAAGTTTCAGACACTTCCAGGTTTGGCTGACTTCATGCTTAGGGTTGATATCGTTTATTGTAATTGTCAAAATTTATTGAATAATTAATATGTACGGCATTAAATGTTAACATAAACGAAATATTTAAGACTTCCGTTCTGATATGATGCTACTTTTATATTTTTTTCTTATTTTAACAATAACCTCCCCCCCCCTTCAAATTAAGTGGATTATATACCTTCAAGAATTAATGTTTCCAAAAGCTTTGCTCACGCTAGCATGATATCATAGTTTTCATTTTATATATAACTCGATTTCCTCTTCGTCATTTACAGTTAGAATAATTAATATGTACTAATCGATTAGTACAGTCAAACCCGTTTAATTGCTAAAATCTTGGGACTAAAATATTCAAAAATTTCGCAATTATTCGATTTTTCGCGATTATATGATTTAAAATCAATAATTTATTTATTAAAAAACAGTTTTTGTTTTTTATAAAAATATTTATCACCTATATTTTAAGCATATAAACCATCAATTTATAATAAATGCAATTTTTAGTTAATATAATCTTTGCGATTTAATCTCTTATGTAATTTTTACAACTTAATCTTTATTTCGTTTTCTTCATAGTCTACATGACAGGATTTTCACTGGATGCAAACCTCCTTCAAAAACCTTTGCCTACCCCCCTAAAATTTTTATCATTATTTTTACCTTTATTTATTGATACTCTTTTCAAAGAATTTATAAAGGATAACTTAAATTAATCTATCTCTACTACCAACTATACCAACTATCGATATTTTGTGAATATAAAGAATTTATTTTTTAGATAATAAATTCAATTAAAACCTCCATTATTTACAATTGTTGCGTTATTCCTTTATCTTATTTTTTGTTTTTTGCATTTTAACTTTTATTATTTTTGTTATAATCTAATTTTATTTTATAAACGGCGTAACCTTACTTTTTTATATATTATTTTACTTTTTTGTATTTGTTTTATATTCTAATTTATATGTTAGAAAATGTATAAATACCTTAACAAAAGAAAAAGAAATTAGTTAATAAAATATATTTTTACTGACTCGAACCTCGCGCAATATCGTCACCATCCTTATTCTTTGCATGGTGCCCTTTGGGTGGTGGACTAGAAAAAGATGACTACCTAATCTGCTGAGATGACCATCTAATCTATGACGATTGCTTAATCCATTGAGATGACTCTATGACTACCTATTGTGTATCTAATCTATGACGATTGCTTAATACATTGAGATGACTCTATTTATATGACTACCTATTGTGATGATTGCTTAATCCATTGAGATGACTCTATTTAGACTACCTATTGTGACGATTGTTTAATCCATTGAGATGACTCTATTTATATGACTACCTATTGTGTTGATTGCTTAACCTATGGAGATGACTACCTATTATGACTCTACCTTGTGCTTAACCTATGGAGATGACTACCTATTATGACTACCTTATCTATTGTGATGTTATGACTACCTTATCTATTGTGACTACCTAAACTACTGAGATGACCAAGAATCAAACCTTAGTACGTTCTTTCATGCAAAAAGCTTCTTTCTTTATGGTGTCCCGGCTCTGGATGTTGGACTGGAATATAATAGCCAGCACCTAACCTAATGTGACAACCTAGGAAGAACTGATATGGAAGTTGAACGATAGGTTATGAATTCTATTTTGTGAGACCAATGATGATTACTTATTATTCTAATCCACGTAAGAAGAAAAGTTATTAAAAATTAAAATTTTATGCCAGGATAAAGGCATGTTATAAATTTTTAAAATTACTAAAATGTAAAATCATAATGGATAATATTGATATTTTTTGATTTCTTGAATGATGACCAATTGTTGTAAATTAACATAAACCTAAAGATGAATTCTTAAATATAATTAAAAATATTAAAAATCCTAAACAAGAAGATAAAACTTAATTTTAAATATGTTAAAATGTAATTTTTAAATCACATGATTGATTCAAATAACCCTTATAAGTAATACTTAATATGATAAAAAGTTTTTGAAATTAAAAGCTTTGAAAAAAGTTATGTAAAAAAACATTCATTTTAGAAAAATATATTTAAATTATGTGGTGAATTTTCAAAACATCTTATGAAGAATTTTTTTTTTTGAATTAAAATTAGGGTGTGAAATTTAAAATTTTATTTAAAGAGAGGGAAATGTGAATAATATATTATTTGCATATTTTAACCTGGGACATAGAAAATAAACAAAAATTAATTAAACACTAAAACACGAAAAATTAAACGCTTATAAAATATAAAACGCTAAAAATATAAAACGCATAAAACGCTAAAAGTAAAAACGCTATGATTAACTTAAAAATAATATAATAATTATTATGATTTATCGTTCCTTATTCTGGATTAAAATTTTATTCCTTATTCCATAAATTATCATTCCTTATTATATATTTTATTGTTCCAAAATTCAAAATTTTATTCGTGCATATTATTCATATATTTGATTTGATCAACTATTCCAAATTATATATTCCGATTTATTCCAAATTCCAATATTCGACTGGATTAATTATGAAATTTGAGAAATGTGATACAACTTGATTACCAAAATTATAAACCACTTGAACAACAAACTCTCTATGACTTCTCCGATGAAATTATCAGAAGAGGGAGAATGTTGCGTTATTCCTTTATCTTATTTTTTGTTTTTTGCATTTTAACTTTTATTATTTTTGTTATAATCTAATTTTATTTTATAAACGGCGTAACCTTACTTTTTTATATATTATTTTACTTTTTTGTATTTGTTTTATATTCTAATTTATATGTTAGAAAATGTATAAATACCTTAACAAAAGAAAAAGAAATTAGTTAATAAAATATATTTTTACTGACTCGAACCTCGCGCAATATCGTCACCATCCTTATTCTTTGCAACAATGAATTAATTATTATGGCATTATGAGCTTGCTGAAGTATCTAAACCTTTTATATTACATTTAAAAGGAATGTTTATTTGGAAAACAATGTGTATGATAGTTTGCAATATATAGATTTAGTCGATGAATTGTATTATAATAATACTATAATAAAAGTATTAATTTTTACAGCAATAAATTTTGTCCTATTTCATCTAAAAATTTAATAGATAACCCCCCCCCCCCAAAAATTTTTTTTAATTTTATCCTATCCCCATTAAAGCAGCTTACCCCCTACCCCCTCAAAAAAATAGGATGCGAACTGTTCCTACCCCTCCCGCTCATGTATACGCTGGTTTCCTCTAAGATTTTTTTTAAACATATCTTAGAATCTTTATTTTTTTTAGTTTCAGACAAACTTACAATTTTCTACAAATTAAAAAAATAATTAATAATTGTTTAAAAATTCTTTTCATATTTCTTATGCGAAAACAATAATCAATATTATTACGCGAAAAAAAATAAAATCAATATATTCAAAATAAATAATCTAATTTTCCTCTTTTTCATATAAAAATAAATTACATCCTTGACAATTTTTTTTTCATATAAAAATACAATATATCCTTGACAGCAATAACAATCAATTAATATAAAAATAATAAACATAATATTACAACACGCCCCCTTTTATTAGGAATAAAATCCTGGGCAAAATTATACAAAAAAAAATAAATCATCAATCAACGTATAACCATAAAATAAATGATTCACATATTTTTTAAGCATTCTTTTTATGTTTGTATTTTGTCATCTTATTGTTTTATTTGAATTAGAGAGTCGATTCTAACGTTACTATCCTCCTTTCTTTTAGGCGATTTTCTATTAGCCGTTATACATTTGTTGTCATCCTAACATTGTGTCGTTCCTCTACGATGTTCGTGCACAGTGGTTTCTTCTTGATTACACGATTATTTACATGGACAATGGTTGCTTCTTGATCATGCGATTATTTACACCATTGAAATCTACGTTTTTATTAACCTGGAACTT